ATTGGCATGAGTTTCAACATCTTTTTTTTCATGTGAGAAAGCTATGGGGTTTGAGTTCTATGCAGGAACTACTGCCTTAGCAATGTCTGCTAATAAGCTAGCCAGCCACTCCATGAGGTAGGGTTGCCAAGCATCTATGTTTGTTCATTCATTTAAAAGATGTTTAATCATCATCTACTGTGATCTGGACTTCTAGGTGTGAGGTTCACAGCAGTGAAACAGAACATCCCTGAGTCATTGCTGTGGCTTGGGCACCAGATTCAAGAGGGATTCTGCACTGACTCTCCATCCATCCCTGTGGCCACTGGCTCAGAGTTCATCCCCTTATGCATAAACAGTTGCAATCTCCTAAGTGGTTTTCTTGACCCTAGTCTTTCCCTTTTGGCACGTGGTCTAGTATCATCTCCCCAAAACACATTTCCAACGTGCAGTTTGTCTAGTTTCGAGCCTCAGTCTCTCTCTCTCTCTCTCTCTCTCTCCCTCTCCCCCCCCTCCCCCCACTGCTAGGATAAAGTCCTAATTCCTTAGCTTGCAATTCAATGCCTTCTATAAACTGCTGGATATACCTTCCATCCAGCTGTTTCCTATGCTCTCTTTACTCCAATTCATCCAACTGAATGAATGCTTTTTCTCTACTAACTGACAAGTTATACCTTCCATCCAGCTGTTTCCTATGCTCTCTTTACTCCAATTCATCCAACTGAATGAATGCTTTTTCTCTACTAACTGACAAGTTATACCTTCCATCCAGCTGTTTCCTATGCTCTCTTTACTCCAATTCATCCAACTGAATGAATGCTTTTTCTCTACTAACTGACAAGCATTCCTTCCTCCAAACATTTGACATAACAGTCCTCCCTTCTTGAATGCCTTTTCTGGTTCTTTGCAGCCATTGAAATTCCCTGTGCAGAGCCCAGCCCAGATTCTGCTTTCCTCACCAGACTCTCATACTACTGTCCATCTCTCCAGGAGCTTGTAGTTGTCTGTGCCTCTCAGAGCCACTGAGAAGAACCTGCCTGATAGTCTGCCACATGTCTCTTTTTTCATGCCTTCCCAGGAGTACTTGACTGTGGGAGCCCAAGTCTGAAGTAGTTTGTCTTCTGTAGCCTCAGAGGGACTCACTGAGTTTGTTGATAGGAGGCTGGAGGAAGAGGCTTCAGAGTTAAAATTTGGAGAAAGGTGGGATTTGGAGGAACTTAGAGGCTTCTTGGGCTCAAGGTGGGTCAGATTAGAGGTGCCCAGGAAAGGTGAGGGCAGAATGGGGGAATATGTACCTAGAGAAGGGGGCAGTGGGCAGAGTAGCTGCCCTAAGCTCAAGAACTCAGCCATCTCCCCTGCCAGGTCCTCAGCCCCTGGCATAGGCAAAGCAGTGCCCGGGCTTGCCTTACTGTCACAATCTTGTCTGTTTATGCCTTAGAGGAGCAGTTTATCCTCTCCCAGGTTGCACTCCTGGAGCAGGTGGAGGCTTTGGTGCCTATACTGGACAGCACTCAGATCAAAGGTACCTTTCTGGAGCTGCAGTTCCACTACTCTGCTTGGGGAGGTGGGTGGATGGGAAGGACTTCACTGTGCCTCAGGTTCCCTGGGCTCAGGCTAGGGCTGCTCCCTGTCTTTACCCTCACCCTGCCATCTGCATTGGGATTATATTTGCCATGGCAGAAAGCTCAGTTTCAGAACTGTAGGCAATTTGGGCCTCAGGACATTAGTGTAAGCCCAGCAGCCTTCAACTCTGCAGAGTCCTTCTGCCTTCCACCCCACCCCTTAGCATCATCTGTCCTTCAGGGTGCTGCAGAGGCCAGGTGCGTGAATTGTGTGTGAATTCTAACTGCTGCACTGCTAAGAGCAGTCTCTGGTCTTGAGTTTTGACAAGCAATGACTTTAATTGAATCCAGATATCCATCTTATCTGTCTCTGGAGGTATTTTTCTCAGCTTCCCCTCCCTACCCCAATCAGCTACCTGCTGAACATCTGACTGCCTTAAGCTGTAGGCCCAGCATGGTGGCTGAGGCTCAAGGTGTTGAATTCCAGGTGGCCAGCTTAGTGACGTGGCATTCATCCTCAGCCCACCTGCAGTCTCCCTGTTCCCTAGGCCAGGCAGACCTGGTCCTGCTGGGCTGAGAGCAAAGGGACAGATCCCATGATGGCGAAGCTCTCTTTATCAGGCCCTGCTTACAGCAGTAGGGTGGGGGTACAGGGCAACTCTGGGGACCCTAAGGCTCTTTCTTCTCCTCGGGGCCTATCTTCCCCTCCCCTTTGGGTCCTAGACTAAGACTGTGGTGGACAGGGAGCCCCATCACCACCTCCAGCTGCAGCGGTCGATGAAGCCTAGCATTTGTTTAGCTTTTCCACTCAATACTGTAATCCTGCCAAAGACCTAATAGACTATTGAGCAGTCCCAGGGGAAGGAGCAAGCATCATCGGGCAGAATACGTTGTGTTTTACAGCCGTTCCTGAGCATGCTGCCCGCCTGCAGCGCTTGGCCCAGATCCACATCCAGCAGCAGGTATGGGCGGGGATAGGACTGGAGGGGAGAGTAGAGGTGCTGAGGCTCCTAGTCCCCACCCCTGCCACCTGGGGAAGCAGCCTTGGGCTCCTTTGATGCAAACCTCAGGGGAAACTTGGGGGTTTATCCTTTATCTTCCTTCAAGAGGGGAAGGGAGTTGTGTAGGGCCACATCCTGGTCTCCTGCCTCCCAGAGTAGGGATATTCTGAGACTTCAGAAGGTTGATGTCGGGAGGTACCCAAGAATTCTTGGGGATGGTGTGTCCTTGACAATGGGTAGAACTGTTATGCTCAGGTTCCAGTTAAAGTTCACGAAATAGGGAACAGAGAGGAGGAGACATATACTAGCAGGAATGTTTCCTTAAATGTGTAACCTATTCTCCTTTCCATCAGCCTTAGGACTTCTGTTCAGGTACCCACCCTGGAGTCTGAAAGTGCTCCTTTTGAAATTTGCTCCTTTTGGCTCTGGGGTTAAACATCACCCTTTCTGGACTCCATGGGGAGTGAGAATCCCTGATGAGGCAGGAAGGTTAGTGGAAAGTGGGGACTTTGACTCCTTTCTCTGCAACACTTTGACCCCATAGGACCAGTGTATGGAGATCACTGAGGAGTCCAAGGCTCTCCTGGAGGAATACAACAAGACTGTATCCTTTTTGCTCAGCCAGGCCCTTGAGGAGTGCTGTCCAAAGCCCTATTCCTTTGTTCCATCTCTAACCCTGTGTCTCTCATCCCATCCCAACTAGCCTATTCCCCAGCTCCCCTACCCTTCTGGCAGATGCAAAATCTCTCTACTGTCTCTGACTCTTGTTCTCACCTTGACCTGCAACCAGACAATGCTTCTCTCCAAACAATTTGTGCAGTGGGATGAGCTACTTTGCCAGCTAGAGGCCGCCAAGCAAGTGAAGCCAGCAGAGGAGTGATGGCTACTCCCCATCTCACAGTGGGCTAGGGCGGCCAGGCTCTAGGGCTGTGTGCCAACCTGCAGAGGAAGCTCTCAGTTTTTTGGATTGATAGCCTACCAGTCTGCACTCAGGTGGGGCTCTGAGGTCAGAGGTCTGGCTATTTGAAGTTTGCTGTTTGCACTCCCTCCCTTTATCAGTGTCCTATTGTAGTGACAATAAATTGTAGAGATCACTGGAGGAGTGTGCCAGCTTCCTGGTCTAGGATGGGGATGATGGTGGGGATGGAAGTTTGGAGAGTAGAGTTGTCAACCTTCCTAGCAGTTGAACCAGAAACTATACTCACACTGGTCTGGCATTCTGGGAGGTGTAGGGCTCTCAGGACAAATGCTCTCATTTGATTGACATGAATGGAATGTCCATTTGTCCCACATTTCCCAGGTACCATCTAAATGTCAGATGTCAGGTATGGTCCATCTGATCCCTGCCCTGCAGAGACTAGCCAGGGAGACAGTCAAGAAAAAGGCAGTCCCATCAAGTAAACACAGGGTCTTTGGGGGCACAAGAAAAAGGGATGGGGGAGGCAGCCCTGGAGGGTGACATGCAGGGTCTTTTAGAGCCAAGGGAGCAGCATGTGCGAAGGCAAAGAGGAACCTTGACGTTTCTCTCTTGGAATCCTACCTGGTGCTATTAACAGAGAAGAGGTTTGGGGACAGTTGGGAAGGAGAGGGAGGGAACACGATGAGAAAGAGCTGAGACTGATAGGCACTTCGCTCCAAGTGTTTGCTGTCCCCTTGTGGTCTCAGGGAGTGCTGTAGCTTCAGGCCCCATTTCAACAGCAGGCCCGCGCGCCCTACCGGGACGGTCTCACACTACCATCTCAAATTCAATTAAGTCCGAACTAAGTCTCAGAGTGGGAGTCATTCCACGTTCTTCATTCTCGGTCCAAAAAGTCGCCGACTCCTCACCGAACCTACCTCCCAATTTAATCTACTTTTCGCTATTCCCATGCCATTTCACTGGTTCATTCTTTCAACACACCATTTAACAAATATTTGAGCCGGGCACCATACGAGTCTCCATGGACAAGCCCCCTGGACACGGCGGCCCAATCCCCACCCCAACCCGCATTCCGCCGCCATCCACCCCTGAGCTGCAGCCTGAAGCTATGCACGCGTTCGGGTTTCATTAACCCCTGATGAAGACCCTCAGTGGCTCGTCAGTCCCCACAGATTAAAACTCAGAACTTGGTGACCAAAGCTCTTGCCCGCTCAGCAGCAGCCATTCCAAACGGGACCTCTTGTTGCTGTCCAAAGCAAAACCCTCTGCTTCGCCTTTGCTATTGCGGTGTGCTCGTCTGGCAACCCCAGCCCTGCCATCTTCTAAGGGCCAAATCCTCCCCATCCGTGGGACGCCGGACTCGATGATGGCGGCTCCTCTTCTCCGCAGGGCCTTCTCCACCCCTACAGGAGTGCTCCTTCCCTGGGTATTAACGGGAGACTGCACTTCTGTTCCCGGTGCCTGGACATCTTGGCCAAATTCCGTTTTCCTGCGGAAGCCGCCGGAGCCGCGGCCCCTCAGGCCCCGCCCCCGCCCGGCGTGCGCGGCCCCGAGGCTTCGGCGCGCTCTCGGCCCGCGCGCCATCTTGTCTTCAGGTAGAGTTTGAGTCGTGCGCGGCAGCGGCGGTGAGAGCCACAACCTAGCGGGGAGGGGGCTCTTGAAGGTGGGGGTCAGGAGAAGGGAGGGGAGGCCGGCCGGACCCTGGGGGCGGCCTGTGGCAATGGAGACGGCCGAGGCCGGCCGGGCCGTGGACCCGACGTCCCGCGTAGCCCCAGCAGCCCTCCACGTTAAGCCTCTCTGCTCGGAGTGTCTGAGTGACCTGGGTTGGGCAGATCGACCCTGGGAGTGTGGGGGTGAGAGGGGCTCGACCCTGTCGTAGGGATCCCGGAGTCGGGGGAAGGAATCGGCTGTCTTCAGGAGCTTTTGGGTGAGGGCTCTTGGCCCTGTCTCCTGTCTCGGGGAGCTTGGAGTGTACGAAGCTCTGGGAGCCCGAAGTGGGGGGCCTCTCGCTGCTTTGGAGAGGCTCATGTGAGGAGTCTTAAGTCTTGTTTTCAGGCAGTCCGGAGTGAGCATCTGGGCCCTTTCCCAGGGAGCTCAAGACGGGAGAAGATCTGTCCCAGACCTCCAGAAGCTTGGGAGGAGATGGCTTGGCTTGATCCTTATCCTGAAGAACCCAGTATTGCGGAATTTGGTCCTGTCTCAGGGACTCCAGGGTTGAAGGAGGCTTATGGCCCTGCCAGAGAAATGGGGGGTGTATGGAGTACAGTCCATTCCCAGGGTGAGGCAGGCCATGGCTCCTATCCTGAGAAGCTGGGGGTGAAGGGATATGGTCCTGTTCCTGGGAAGTCTGGATTGGGAAGCAGGGCCATGTCCTAGAGAGCCAAAGTGGGGGGATGGGCTGGGACATGTTGCCTAGCATTCATCTGACACTTCCTGCAGTGGGCAGTGAAATCCAGACACTCAGCAAACAGAATGGAGCACTACCGGAAAGCTGGCTCTGTGGAACTCCCAGCACCCTCTCCGATGCCCCAGCTTCCTCCTGATACCTTGGAGATGCGTGTCCGAGATGGCAGCAAAATCCGCAACCTGCTGGGGCTGGTGCTGGGTCGTTTGGAGGGCGGCAGTGCAAGGCATGTGGTGTTCTCAGGTTCTGGCCGGGCTGCAGGGAAGGCTGTCAGCTGTGCTGAGATTGTCAAGCGGCGGGTACCAGGCCTCCACCAGCTTACCAAGCTGCACTTCCTTCAGACAGAGGACAGCTGGGTGCCAGCCTCACCTGACACAGGCCTAGATCCCCTCACGGTGCGCCGCCATGTGCCTGCAGTGTGGGTACTGCTCAGCCGGGATCCCTTGGACCCCAATGAGTGTGGCTACCAGCCTCCAGGGGCACCCCCTGGCCTGGGCCCCACACCTAGCTCCAGCTGTGGTCCCCGACCCCGAAGAAGGGCCAGAGACATGCGGTCCTGAGGACTGACTAAGCAACCTGTTCTTCAGGCATGAATGTCTAGAATGACTGTGCCTTCTTTCAGAGGCCTCTGTAACTGCTCAGCATCCCAGCAAGACTTGAATCTATTGCTTCTCCTTCTCTGGTGTGTGGAAAGGGACTGCTGTGAAGAGTGATAAGTGTGGGGTATCTGCCAGGTTCTGGATTGCTTAAGAAAGGCTTACTCTGCCTTTCACTTCCAGTGCCTCTGATCTGCCTTCTAACAGAGGTTCAGGGAGTGAGTTAGGAAATAAAGGTTCTGCCCATTTGTCTGATGAGCCTCTGTTTGGCCTGCTGTGTGGAGGTGGGATTAAGGGAGTTGGGAGTCCCTTCCATTGTCCCCAGGAGTTTACAGGCTGGAGACTGGAAGGGTAGACTCAGGCTGGTGCTGGGAGGATCTAAAGTCAGTAAGAAGCCTCAAGCAGGAACCTGACTATATCTAGACCCCTGGGTGGCTCTCTGCTACCTGTTTTGGGCTGGTTTAGGGACTGCCAAGTCAGACACTTTTCTCTGTCTGCAGCATGTAGTGTAGTGGTGAAGATCATGGTCTTGGACACCAGACTGCTTGGATTTGAATCCTATTTCTGCTAATCACTAGCAAGTTACTGCTTCGTGACTTTGGGCAAGTTACTGCTCTGTGAAATACTGCTGTCACCCATAAAACAGGATATATAGTATTTACCTCATAGAGTTGTTAAGAAAGATTAAATGTAGAAATACACATACAGGACTCTTAGATACCATGTAGGCATATAGTACTATATAAATGTTAATTGCTATCATTAGTTGACTCAACTTAGAAACATGATTTTTCCTATCTTGAAAACATACCTTAATCCCACATCTCCCCTCTAGGTCTCATCCTTACCTTTTTATTCCTTTCTGCTCCTTTTCATCTCAGCCTGAGACTGCCAGATTCAGCCTGATCAGGTCAGAGACATTAGGAGAGAGGCGAAGATTACAAGATAGCAAGGGGGACCAGAGCAGGATTGTGGGCAGTGCAGACTTTGAACAGTTGAATCATTTGGGTCCCCCACTGGATCTTGAGGTCTTCTCCAATGTATCCAGCAGCCTGGATATCCAGTCACTAGGAAAGCACAAAGTTGGGGCTTTTCTGGGCTCAGCGTGGCAGATGGGCTTAGCAATTGGAGAGTGTTGAAATAATGTTTGGCTGAGCCCAGGCAGGTGGGGTTAAGATGGGAGAAATGGAGTTGGGGGACTGGAGCCCTCAATAAGGGCTTAGAGCTGGGATGGGGGGCCCAAGGGGCCAGCAGGCTGCAGTCAAAACTTTGAACACTACATCCTTTGCTTTCCAAGGGAAGTTGTCCAGTGATGCAGAAGACTCTGATGGAGATCCAGGGAGTATTTGAGACAGAATCCTCACAGCAGCTCCCCAAAGCATCTCAAATGCAAAAGGTTGTGGAACATCTAACAGACCCCTAGAGCTGTGGCGGTAACTTGGGTGTCTTGCTCCCAGCAACTGCCTGACTTCTGCCCATTCTCTTCGTGGCTAATTCAGGGGTTTTGCTCCCTCACAGCTTCTGCATGTTGCCTTTTCTCTGAACATCTCCGTTTGTGTCTTACCATCAACAGCTCTCTCCAGTGTCACTGGTCCCCAGAGCTTTGGGGCCAGGCTATTTGTAGACTTGCTTTTTGGCTCAGTATCCCATCCTGATGCAGCCTGCTGAGGCTAGGGCAGGATTGTCATGTGGAGTAAGCATGGTGTCTTGTGCTGAAGGAATGATTCAGTAAGGTGGCATCACAAGCCCTGGGATTACTAGGAGGTGCTCCCAGTTGGGCCCCTCATCATTAAGCTCTAGGTCTGGGGTCTCCAGTATGATGGCAGGGGTAGTGTGGAGGGAAACTGAGCTGGGGTCAAAATCCCTTAGGAAGAACAGGATCTGCAACTCAGAGAATCAGGAAATAGGCTGAAGGAGTGATGGCTAGTGATTCTGGAGCCTTTCGCCTTCTTGGCCTCTACAGGGCCCAGTGGGGTCCTACACATAGAACTGCAGGGAGGGACCCACAGAGAAGCGAAGGTTTTATAGTCAGAAAGCATAACCAAGTCTGGGAGCATAAGAGTTGTGTGTAATTACTGATGCCATTTCTTTACTATCCACTTTCTCATTAGTCTACTGCAGCATGGCTTCTGCCTCCATAATTTCTTTAAAAACGTTAGGCCTTGGTACAAAAGGTAAAGAAGTGGAGACAGCAGTTTCAAGAAGTTGGATTGTGAATGGGAGAGGAGGTGATAAATAGATGAAGAGGAATGTGGGATACAGAGGGTATTAAAAATGATTTATTTTTAATGAGTTAGCAGAGATTTGAGCATGTTTGTAGGCTGATAGGGGAAGCAAACAGGGAAAGAGATTAAAGATGCAGGAGTCTGTGAATAACTCAGAGTTAGATTCTGAAGGGGTGAAAGGGAATGAGATCCAGAAGCGTGGAGATATGGGCCTCCCAAAGGGAAGAGGAGAAATGGCTTCCTCTAATAGGAGGGAAAGAGTTGAGGATGCCTGTGTATGAAAATGGGTGTGGAGGTAAAGGTGGGAACATAAGGGAGTTCAGAGCTCCGAAGGCTTCTCTCCCACTTCAGTGCGGGAGTACAGTCCCACTGCTGAGAGTGGAATGAGGAGGCTGGTGGGAAGTGTGAGAAAGTTGTTGCAATTGGGAAAGATAAAGGGGGTACAGTAGGATGACCGATCGAAGCTGGTGACCATGAACTTGTAGTGTCATCAGTCAGGGTATGTGCGGTCAGGTGAGGACTCAGAACACTGCTGCATTCTTCCAGACTGAAGTTAAGACAGGCTGAAATGATGGGAGAGTAGTGAAGAGACTAGCAAGAGCATGCATGTAGTGGACGACCAAGGAATCCTAAGTGGGTCAGAAAGAAGTGAAGATAGAAAGGGGCAGGGGTCAGTGGCCTGAAAGTCCCCATGAAAATGTCTGAGGTGGGGTGAGATGGAGTAGTTGAGAGAACGACAGTAGGGCGTTGTAGCTATACCAGATTCTAGGGCTGCTATAATAAAGCACCACAAACAGAGTGGTTTCAAACAACAGAAATTTATTGTCTAAACCAGAAGTCCAAAGTCAAGGTTTCGGCATGGCTGTTTAACTCTTACGATGGGATCCTTCCTTGACTCTTCCTAGCTTCTGGTTTGCTGGCAGTCTTTGCCTTCTGGGCTTTGTAGATGCACCACTCCAGTCATCCATCTTCACATCATCTTCCCTCTGTGTATGTTTGTTTCTATGTTCAAATTCTCCTTTTTCACCAGCCATATTGGATTGGTAGGGCCCAGCTGAATGAGCTCATTTTAACTTGATTACCTCCGTGAAGTTCCTATTTAAAAATAAGGGCACATTTTGAGGTACTAGGGGTTAGGACTTAAACATCTTTTTTGGAGATACAATTCAACCCTTTATAGTGGCTAAAGGATGAGATGGAGGAGCCAGTGGGTTTGAGTTTTAGGAGTTGACAGGGCTTGGTTGTGGACGTGAGAGTGAGATAGCCTGGAGGAAAAGTTCCTGCAGGTGAGGTTGAGGAATTAAGAGACCGTGGTGGGGTGATCCAGGTGGGCGATGGAGTCATTCAGGGTAGTCATGTAGGGTGCTGAGCATTCTCACTGCCTGCCTTAGAGGAGGCATGTATTGTTTGTTTATTGGAATGGAGACCTCAGAACAGAGTGTGACTGGAGGAGTTCTGTGCATCCCATGTGCAAGCAGACACCACCAAGTCCTGCCAATTTTGCTTCCTAGGTCTCTGCATTCCCACAGCATCTGTTGGTTTGTGCCCCCTCATTATCTTACAATAGTCCCCTTCTTGGTCTCCCTGCTGCACTCCGTCTGAGCTCTCTAAGCCAAGCCACTGGCTATTGCCTTCGTTTAGAATGCTCTTCTGCCAGATACCTGTTCGGCTATCTCCCTCCCTCCTTTTAAATCTTTGCTCAAATGTCACCTCAATGAGGCCTACTCTGACCACCCCATTTAAAGTTGCAGTTAAGCACTTCTGATCTCACACTGCCTTTTTTCCCATGTTTTTGTTTTTGTTTTTGCCTTCTAAATATAATCCCCTTCTTTAAAATATTTTTGTTTACTGTCTGTGTCTTCTATTGAGGATGTAAGCTCCAAAAGGGCATGAATTTTCTTTTGTTCACTGATGTAGCCTAAAGATATTAAATATTGCTTGGTACATAGAAGGGGCTCAATAAATATTTAATGAGTGAATGAATAAATATTGAATCTCCAAGTATGTGGTCACACCCATATCTGTCTTCTGCTCTCTTTGCCTCCCCGTGTCCAGATGAGATGACAAGATCCAAATTCATTCACTGGATGGCCTTAAAGAATCCCCTTGCTTGGTCACTGCCGTGGCTCAGTCCATGTTTGGCCTGGTCCTCTTGGGCCCTGGGCTGTGGCCACACTAACACGTCTCACTCTTCCCATGTGCTGTAAGAGTTTTCTGTCTGTGAGCCTTTGCTCTTGCCATTTTCTCTGCTTGGAACTCATCAAGAGTTTTCAGAGTACACCAGTGTTGGGCTCTGGCGCTCCCTCCTCAGAGCCTACCTTCTCACTTCCCCCTGTTTGGGATCAGCCCTGATTCTGTGGGGCATCTCGGGCTCCCACTCTGGTTCTTGCTGTAGGGAAGTGTTGGCTGTGCTTCTGAGTTTGGCCACAAGGTGGCAGCATTTACAAAGGTATAGCCCATCCGTTTTGCTGGTTTGGTGTGGAGATCCACCTGAACTTCAAGACACAGAGCAAAAAGTCTTGGCTGGAAATTTGGTTCTCACTGAGCACAGTGACCTCTGTTATGCAACAAATAGCTAACGGGCACCCACAATATGACAATATAGTCACTGGCTCAAAACCTCCAGCCCATGAAGGCTATAGCCATATCTAGGTAATTCACTGTTGATGTAATTAAAACAGGGATTAAGGAAGTTCATTAGACTTAAGGAATTCAGAGCCCCTCATCCAGGCTTTAGGGCTAGGCAAAGCTTCAAGGAAGAGAAGGGAATACCTGTGTAGAATCTCCAAGAGCCAAAAGAAAAGTGGAAAGTACATTCTGGGTAAAGAGTAGGCATGAGCTAAGGCATAGAGGTGAGAAGAGCATGAGATGATCACTGGAGCATGAGGTTCAAGGCTGGGAGTCTAAGGAATGAGGCTCAGAGGTGGGTGGGAGGCCAGACTGGAAGGGCCTGAGTGCCTGGCCAAGAAGCTTGGACTTTTTCTTGAAGGTGATGGAGAGTCACTGAAGGCTGTAAGGAGGGAGTGATACAGA